CTCTGACGATGCGACGACCTTCGCGAGCATCCATTCGCCGCTGTTTTAAGGAACCAGGTTTGCAGGTATTTGCATCCTCCTGTGGACAACGGACCTCACATCGGGGCACTGCTGCCTTTTCTCCTCCAACCTGTTCTACAATTCTCTGGTATGACCGTCCACCATCCAGAGTTCCAACATTCTCTTCAAACTCGGTTAACTTATTAGAAGGGTTCGCCTTCTCCATCTTAATGTGTTCGAACAAACTCGTTATCTAGTACAGTAAACACTCGTTTACACGAACTGAAAGGAACCGAAATTGGTGAGGTAAAATATAAATAATCTTATAAAGTTCGTGTTATCCGATTATCCGGCTCACAACTTTTGTTTGTGTTAAGCAAGTTCGTGCTACAAGGTAAAACATTGTGCACATACTGATACACGTATACATTTTCATCCTTTTTCTACATGCATTTAAATACATGTGCATTCATACATACTTTTGCCTACATACGTACATACAAAAAATGATTGAGAACCACTGCTATAGCGACTATAATCTAGACCATCTTTGAACTCCTAATGTGAATATTTTAGTGTCTCAACAATTAAATTTCAGGAAGGTAGTGCATGTCTTTCCGCGTGTTTGTAACCGTTTTCCTGCTAACCGCTTATTCGATAGCCCATTAGCTTATTCAAAGTTAGTTTCTGCGACGGCGGAACGAAACGAGCGGTGACCGTGGGATGCTCAGCAGTTGACGCGGCTCCCACATCCGGAGATCCCAATGATGCAGAATTAGAAGCACATGAGCGCCATCGGCGGACGCCTTGTGCAAGCAGGTCCGCGACCATCCTCAGGTGTTCCTTGCCGGCCCTTTTTCTGCGAAAGGGTCCTGTGCCCGCGCGGACGTCGCCGTCTAGACCTCTTTTTCCTTCTTTTCTTTTGATTCCAGTTTCTTTCTCATCTTTTTGCTTTTTATTTTCTCTCTGATTTTCTTCCTCTCCCATCCTCTCCTTACCCTACCGTCTACTCACCTACCGGGTAGTGCCCAGCCTTTGCTCTGTCCCAGGCCCCGATCAAGCAGGAAGGGAAGGAGCGGCCGGTCCAGGGTCCCCGTAGGAAGTCCCCCCACAAAGTCTATAAAAAACGCAAAGGAACTCGAAACAAATATCTAGACAGACCGGAAAAAGAAAGAAAAAATAGGAAAGTAGGGGAAAATGCAGATGTATTTTAATTATGATTAGTAGCTCAATGGTAAACAAGCTCATATCAACGATTGGTGCTGTCCAGGAAAAACAAAGGTGGTGTTCTATGGGATATGTATAATGAAAATGAGCAAAATAACTTGGGAAGTGCTACCGAAATTGAAATTATGTGGAGAAACGGTTACCATAATGTGAACATTATAAAACATTAGGCGGAATGACGCCTCTTTTACCATTGAAGTATGTAATTTAGTACTCGTTTATCCTCTGAACTGGAAAAATTCTAATCTGGAGTTTGCAAACGAATACTTCAGTTAATTCTCATTTCCCAGAAAGATCAAATATGTAATACAGAAAATGGAACAGTCATATGCATCTCTACAAATAGTGTTTTCTTGCTTATTTATATGTAAACTTATGTATATTTATATGTAATTTTATAAACGAGTTTTCAGTATTTTTCATGGAAATGGAAATAAACCATATTACTGTATTCTGTACAAAACTGAGTGATTTCCTTATGATCTGTAGGCAGACAAAAATTGTTTTTGCGACTATAAATGGGTCAAAATTATTTATGATTCTTATATCTGATATTTTTGTGTGTAATAAATTGTATGGCTAGCTATGGCTCGGAATGCAGATTTCATACCTTAGATCTTGTTTCCTATGATTTTATGCAGGGTATAAATAAACAGTGTAAAATACTAGTGTACTTCTCTTGTCTGACTTACCTTTCACTGCGTAGTCCCAACATGTACAATTAAGTTCTACGTAACATTTTCTCGAAATGAAATAAGTTGCTTTCCAAATGTGTCTTAATATTGTTTGACATCCTGTCTTACGGAGCAAATGAAATTTGGAGATTTCCGCCCCTACGCAAAATTGAGGATTGAATAGCGGGCTGCAGCGAATGGCAAGGGCCCAGCGCGTGGCCTGGCCTCTGGCGCAGCCCACGCGCTTCTCGCTCGCTGGCCCGGCTCGCCCTGCACGCCCCTGCGCGCCCCTGCGAGGAGGCCGGGAACCGCCGAGTCACTCTTTTAGGCGGCTAAATATAGTTTCCACTGTTTTAGTTGCCCACCGTGAGGCAATAGCATAACTATCACTCTTTTTAAAGAAGTGCTGGATGTAGAGCTTGTTTTACAATTCCTATCACTTGAGGCAACTAGCTCGTTTTTGCGTACCAATTCTTGTCTATTTACGTCCAATTTTTATGAAAGGAGATTTCGCTCCTTCTTAAGAATTTTTCTCATGTGACACATTGAATGTGTGTGTATATATATATATATATATATATATATATATATATATATATATATATATATATATATATGCATTCTTAGAAGAGCATGTTACGTACATACGCGCGCGCGCACACACACACACACACACAAACACACTGCATGAGCTTCTAAAACAAATTTTATCTCATCTGCAGTGAATTTTATGAACCCAATGATGTCTGTATACTCGAATGGTAAGTGTTCCGCATTTGTTCTTTAAGGGAAGTAAGAAGTTGATTTCTTTACCCAAAATTAACTTTTGCTCCCAAATTTAAATTAAAGTATTCCGCTTTCAGAAAAAAATGTTTATCTAATAATGTTTTGACATTTCAAATATTTGTTATGAAATTTAAACCTTTGTAATGTCTACTCTGATCTTCCCTAAATTTTGATTTTGTTGAGAGCTAATATTGATTTTATTTAAAGATGGTAACTTTATTCCAAATTCTATATCGTCTTCGTTTTATAATTGTCATTCAGAGGCACAATTAGAAATCCTATTGTTTGTGATTGTCCGTGGAAATGCACTATTTTCTGTTTGAGTGAGATGCGTGCCGTATTCTTTTACTATTTGATAATGCCACTAATTAGTAATCGTATTTTCAGAAAGCGTTTTCCACCTGTGAAGTAGAAAATAACGTTTAAAGAGGAGTTCAAATAAATACGTGAGTTGTTGATATTGATTTGTTGATGTGCCTACAACTTCACATCCACCACTTCATCAGACAAAAGAGTACATCAAACAGGAAACTAATGTTCTGACTACAATACGTTTGGCAACCGTGGAAACCAATTCCATACAATGGATATGAATATTCTGTGAAATATTATGTTCAAGCATGTTTTGTGGAAAAGTTGTAAATTTTCAGATCCACACCTTGAAATGTATAATTAGAGAAGACTAGTAACAACAAATAAGTATCGGTTGTGAATGTTGTAATGATGATTTTATCTTTTTCAATTCTAATCCAGTAAAGGTAGATTAAATGGGAAACAAAAAACTCGGTTTAAAATTATCATCTATGTAATCTAAGATCGAAGCTAATCTTCGATCTCTCATCTCTACTAAAGATAGTGAGGAAATTGAATCTTCCAAGTTTTCCTGACAATACAAGTCATAAAATAGGCGACTAAGTGAAAATAGGCGATACAAGTCGAGAGAACTACGAGAGAACTCTGAAAAAAGGAATCTCAAGAAATTATGTGATAATTTATAGGACTACCTGGCTAGAATGTGTTAACAAAATACTTAACCATGTAAATATATTGATGTTTTTTTCTACAAAGCTATTGGGGGGGATTATCTCAAATGCTACTAAATTGTTTCACTGAAACTTTCCGCAGCTTTACCACTATGATATGCACGTTTTTCAGAAGATTTTCTTTGATGCCTTTTCGTTTGTGTTTTCAGAAGGCCAAGGATCGCTCTGACACTCAAAATTTTCATAGTAAATACTCCTTAATTATCTCAATCAAGAACCAATGTGCATTAACTCTGTAGAAAAAATCAGAATGATTTAACAGACAGAAGTTGAAAGAAATGTTTCTTAAGTTAGATGGTAAAGTGAAGAACTCCTGTCGCCTGTAAGTGTGCTGAATATAAAATCAAATGTCAATATCTTACATACTTTGGTTTTTGGATAGAAACTTTATTTTACATTTGGGCTAACGTAGCTAGGTGGAAGAATAAAGATATTTAAACTATAAATTAACAAAGGAGAACAAATTACAATAGTTATCCTATCAACTTGTCTGTCCGGGAGATGTCGCATTGGACCTGATACCAGTGTTCTGGCCGTCGTTCTGTGACCTTCCTCAAAGCCAAATTCCTGATGTTAATAATAATAATAAATTATGTTGTTATTGTTATTATTATTATTATTATTATTATTATTATTGTAATCCATCCTTACTTAGCATATGCAGATTATATATGTATCTGTATGTGTTTATGTATGTATATAATGCTGCGCTGTAATAACGGAATTACTAACTCAGATATATTTCATTATGTTGGGCAGTAATTCTAGTAGAAATGTAGTAGAAATGGTATGGAATTCCAAGTTGATGAGTAAATTAATCGAAAACATATTCCCTAAAAATATTGTAAAGATCTTACATTAAGGAAATACATATCCTAAACTACACAGTCTATGAAATCTTGAAATTTTGAATTTGCTCAAAAATAACAATTTAATATGGTTCAAGGAACTCGCAAGGACTGCCATTTTAATATAGTCTATCCATTCTGTCCATCTCCTCTCTCTTCATCCCAGTTTCTTCTCTTTCTGTCCTCTTCATACAATTAACTCGTGAAAGAAAAAACTGTTTTACAACTTTCGATGAATCTTTTTACAAATAAATATGATCGTAGTTGTTCGTGAAAATGGTCGAACTTGACAATATTAAATATATTTTTGTCGGTTCGTAAATCGGTTAGCAATTAGTGGGACAATACGTCAAATAAATGCTATCATGTGGTTTCATTCTTTTATCTCAATATTGCACAAAAATGTTTTAATATGCTTTCAGAAGATTTCCTGATTTAAGTGAGGATTTGGAGAGGGATTTATGTAACTAAACAAACTTTAAAGAGAAAGTCGCTCACTTTCACTTACATTAGCAGCCATTAGCCATTCAGGAAACGATTTATAGTAGCGAAAATTTGTCCGGCTTGCTATTTTTCTTTTCATATCCACATTTAATTAATTCTTAAAAATCAATTCAAAGTACTTTGTACAAAGTGCTTGGGGTAATTTGCACTTGAAATTAACGATTTTTTTCTTCTCAAAAACTGCTCCAAATGTTTTCTTTAAATTTCCTCCACACATGTAATAAGGGACAGTTAGAAATATGGTGCTAGTCCCATTTTCGGGTATTGCTCGCTTTTCTCGAAAATTACAGAAAAAAGTTTTAAAAGAATAAAATTGAAGATTAAGGTTTTTGGCCCTAACAAAGTCTGTTGTACAAAATTACCTCTTTAAGTAATTTGATGTTCATTTTTTTGAAAAAAAACGAGTAGTTTTTGCGTACCTTGCGCTTGAAGTTTACGATTTTTCCCCCCAAAAACCACTCCAAATATTTTTTAAAAAATTCCACGTATGTACGGTATAGAGTACGGTATATATAACGGTAAGAATTATGATGCTTGTACCATTTTCCGATATTGCTCGCTTTTCGAAAATTGCAAAAACCATTCAAAACTACAAAACTGAAGATAATTTTACCTCAGAAAGAGTTTGTTGTAGAAAATTAACTTTTTAAATACATAAATAAATAAAAAATTAAAAAATAAAAAATAAATAAAAATAAAAAGTAAAAAATAAAAAAAACATAGTCCTACTACTAAAGTGCACAGACTTTCTCGCAGTATTTAGTTCTCTAATCTCGTTAGTCTAAACTAGGGTTTCAGTTGTGATTGATTGTCTTCCCAGATACCTTCTTTGGCTGCCCAACGACTGTTGGCCGGCCCGACCCTTTGGCCGACATGTTTTTCACATTTTCTCGATTTTTCGGCAACAATCACAATTCTTTGTTGCCGGAAGAAATAATTGATGAATAAATGAATTAAGAAAAGTAAACTGGAAGTGTCTGTATGTAATTTTCGAATTTTCAACTTCTAAACAATTTTCCACAACTCTTTCAAATTCAAACTTACAAATACAATGCTCGAGGATCAGGGACACTGGTCGAAAACCTGATCGAACTGCATTGAAACAGTTTTCTTTTCATTTACTATTAATTTGTTATTACGAAACCAATTTGAAACATCTGATATTATACTATTTACGGTTTCTTTATTGCAAAGAATATTCGAATTGTCCGCAAAGAGAACTGTTCTTCCGTTTCTAATCGTCGAAGGCATATCGTTTACGTATAGTAGGAAGAAGATATGGCCTAAAATCGATCCCTGCGGAACTCCACATGCAATTGGCAAAGAATCAGAAAGGTGTGTATGTCAGGTTCGGACTCCGCGTTTCGGAGGGAAGTGCTGCTCGTTCGAGCCTGTCTCGGGGATAATTATTTGTTACAACTCTCTGTAGGTTCAGAAAATTATTGAAAATTTCAGTAATTTTATTGAAAATCATTTGAAGCAATTTTACTCGCATATACAATCTGTTAAGATTCGAAATAAACTGAAAGTGTGCATGTCAATTTCGTATTTTGAAATTTTAAATAAGTGTACAACTCTCTTGTTCTATTTTTAAAATGTATGTCACATCAAATCAATTGTTCAATACAATTTGCAAATCAATATAATGCTACGGGGCTCATTGCCAAAAAGTATGTGCTTTGGCAGCACCACCAGTTTGTTATGTTTTTGTGCTGTTGGCATATTTTGTACTGGATTCTGGCATATGTAAGTAGCCCGTGTCTCTTTTTATTGGTTGTTGCTGGCCAATCAATGACGTCTCTTTCCGTGAATCAGCCATCTACAATGTTCTGAAGTGCTATTGTGGCACATATTCCAGCGAGCCTGGCTCGAGCCGGCGCTACATGGTGGCGACAAATTTACAACTTAGTAATGAGTTGTGAGATTCAGGTTCGCTGGTATCGAACAACTCAAACGTTAATTATTTTAATAGGTGTGCGCAGCCTAAAACAAGAAGGGGAACAACTACATTTCTGAGACCCTGTGGGCCCCTTTTTCTATTAAACTTTATTTACATTTGACGAATTTACAGAAAATAAAACATACAACAAGGAGAATGAAATTATATTTTGAATTTTAATATTTAGATTTAATTAGTAAAATTGATTTTTTGCTGAAAATTTAGAGGTTACCAGGCGGTTGGGAAAGCCTCTTCTCCAAATATCCATCACTTCCTCAAATCAGCTTAAAAAAGGGGATAATAAAGCATGGATCATATTTACGGAAACAAATATTTTATTACATAAGGCTATAGGGCCCTTTCGAAATTTCCAGGAGGCCACGCCCCCCCCTGGCTACCACTATGCGCACGCCTATGCAAACTAACTTAAGCATTTGTTCTGAATGCATTCGTGTGCCCTGGTAATTACTGTAAGAAACAAAATATTATTACTACGGACTAAACTATGAGACAAAATAATGAAAACGAAATTACGCTAGGTAAAGTGAACTAGAAATCGCAAAATGATACGAGTTTTTGACGCTACTATTCAGGTACGAGGTAAGGCAAGGAGAAAGGAAGGAAATAACTGGAGAGGTAGTGAGGTGACTGAGGAAGATGGTGGGAAGAGACCTGGAAAACGTACGTGCGCTGAAGGGCACTGGCATTCGAGAATGAAGTTTGAAAACTCATGTGAGGTGAAAGGGCGTGCTGCACACTGATGAACGGGCGGAACAATGGAACCATGTTGAAATCACACATCTCCGATGAATAATTGGAAAAGGCAACCAAGTGACGAAACGCATAATGTATGTTGACCGAAAAACGTGGTGCTGTGAGATGTCTCTGCTTCTTCATCCAGAACACGTGTTTCTTGCGTGATTCATTCCCTTTTCAATGAGTAACGCTTCCAGAGAATTCCTGTTCTTCTGGATACGACACAATGACATGACAGCCTTCTTATTTTACTTTCTATTTTCCTAGCAAATGAGTTCAATCCAAAGTGAAAGAGAATGGCATGTGAAAATAGTCCAAAGTGATAGTGGATCTTTTATGTGAGAATGACGGAGCGTAATATTGCCCGGATTTTGTATACAGGATATCGCGTATGCCAGTCCATCTTTACACGAAAACCACTTTGGGCTCGCAAGCTCGTGAACCCTTGAAGCATCGAAAGTAGCGTAATTCCGCAAAACATTTTGATAATAATTTTAAAATATTTTTTGAAAGTTGATTCTCCCAAAACATTTTTAAAGTTTGATACATAATATTATTACATTGAAATAATTGCTTCTTACGTGTTAATGTTTTAATTTAAATTAATTTTACATACCGATGTTTAGACCATAATTTTGCGCTGATAGAAAATTTCACGATCTAACTACTGCTTAAGTTAAATGTTCCTATTGAAATGACTGCATTATGGAGTTGGTATACTCATTTAAATGTGCATGGGAATCCACCAGTAGACGAACGTAATTTTCTCAAGAAAATACCGTTGTATATTATGTTCCTTGGCGCAGTGTGCTCGCGTGGCAGGATCGTCCATTCATATCGTTCGCGAGAGCTGTAAAGCGACCTGTATGGAAGGCGTGTGGGTGGCGTCGCTGGCTGAGCGGGTCCTTCGATCGGAAGAGGGGCGAAGACTGGGCAGGCGCATAAGCACGGAGGTAGACGGACCAGAGGCACGAGTGGAAGCGGGCGCGGGCGCGGGAGCAGGGCCAGGGCCGCCCGAGGAGTGCGATGGCGTAGGGTCGCCGGGAAAGGCTGTGGCCAGGGGG